CAAAACTCGTCTGTTAATATAAACCCACACACGAAAGCTTTATACAACATTCGCACAGTTTCAGAACTTCCATTGTTCGAAGTTGACCAGGAATTTAGTTTATTAAACCTGATACATTGTCTAGATCCAGGCGGAAACCTGCCTCATCCCCGGAAGCTGTAGTTAAACAGGTTTAACTGGCGTTTTAAGTCTAACCAGTAGGCACTAGAGTGTTAAATTATTGACATAACCTGATTTTATCACTGGTCAGACATGGTCTGAAATGTACCTGTTTCACTAGCACAATTGGTACATTCTTTCACCACAATGAGTACAAAGCTCCCATGCAAAGTTGGATTTTATTTAATTCTGACCGAGTATTCATTTCAAACAAGCTTTTCTCACAAACACAAGTAACTGTAAAACTATTGAAGCAAAAAATATCAACAACCTTTTAAATGAAAATATATTTTGAAATAAATCAATGACATTTATCGTGGTTTCTATAACCCTCTAGTAGTGAATTTGTATTAATCTTTTTTTTCAAGCAGAGTTATTTCTTGAAAATGAAAAAACTTAATGTTCCACACTTGCATGTCGAAAACAGCCATCAAACATGATGAAGTTTCCAACAACTTGTTCACAGACATAATCGACTTTATATAGCTCTACCAATTTATTCATTTTTTAACAGTTACCTCAATAGCATTATTTACATTTACTCCTGTCTGCAAATGCCAAGTACTTATCACCAGTTTTTTATCAGTGACTTTTATTCACCACGTTATTAATATTTATTATTTGAACGTTGTTGTTTTCTTTTGTTGTTGTTGTTTTTCTTTTCAAAAACAAACAGACAAAAAGCTTTGAGTAGGCGGGCGGGCATTAGCTGAATGTACTAATGATTGGATAGTTGTAAAGGTTAATGCTCCCAGTAAAGCATGGTTGTTTCATCTATCATATCATATGGTACTTGCTACCATGAGTAACGAAAATGCATAACTGGACTCCCCATGAATTTTATAAAACAACTGAGTGTACGTTGACCCCTAATATGCATGAAAGGCATACTTGTACATAGTAAATATTTCGTAAATGTTCGATATACCAGTATTCGAAAACAGAATATAATCAGTAACTTAGTACAAGCTCCTAACTTGTCAAACGTATTTTTACAAGAATTTCTAGTTAAATAGCGAATGTCTAACTTATTCGTCATTTAGGAATTACCAATAACAACAAATATTGTGCAGTAAAAATAAACAGTGTTTTATTCTTGAACTTGATCGAGACAAAGTTTGTTCCAGAGGCTCTGATTTCCAAAAATCGCAGAGGTGAGACAAATTTTGAAAACATGCACGTATTTTGATCATATTTGTCAAATCATTCGTGCACATAAAAATTATAAATACATAATCATTTTAAAGGTATCTTATGTCTCTATGTTTCATTCCACAATTTTCTGTTCAAGAAGCAGTGATCAATTTGGTAGCTAGTGTAAGAACTTGGTTCAGTTGTAACTGGTATAGGCTTTTTATAAGTCACAAGTAATCTATTTCTTAGCCTCGCTACCAAAACCAAATACTTCTTTAATAGGTGATATTTTAACACTTTTGAAGTACCTTTGAATTATTCTCTTACAAACAGAACTGGACATGGTTTCACTTCTTTTTTAATTTTTACTTCGCCTCTTTCTGAACCTTGATTACCTTAATAGGAATTTAAATATCAGATAAACTTTAGTAACACCACCTTTTACTTTTTCATAATAATTATTTTGTAATTTCTTTTCTGGAAAATGTAAAAATTGAGACAGAGCGAAATTCAAACCTGCACTTCTGTGGGCATGGGAGGTGTTCTAACCATCAAACCTACAACCCATTTACTGTCATTTTGAAAATGTGTAGTGATGATGTTTTTAAACTGAAACTGTTGATAACCAGTGAAACACTGTCTTATGTAGGAAGTGAAATGTTTGAACCTGAACGCCACCTTACACGAAAGTAGACTAAAAGGTCACGTCCGTGATCCTTAAGGCTCAAGCATGGCCGTCCATAATTTTAAATTACTAATCAGTGGGAAGGCAGCCAACTAGCAGGACTGTTCGCCACAAGGATTTCGCCGACTCTTCGAACCATTAAACAACTGAAAAAGCAGAATATGCTCAGTAGCATTAAGTCAGAAACTATAAATCGCTCGATCAACAGCCTACATGTTAACCTTTAGGCTATACCCGACCCTCCTCCATGTATGTAATACGCTTTTATTAATGTTTTGGTGAGATCAAATTGAATTCGAGCTCGTATACAATCCTAATAAACTAACCTAGAGAATAATAAAGCTTTCGAGGTTCAAAAACCGGTAACTTAGTTTCGATATGTACCTCAACAGCAAGAAAACAGGTTGAGCATCAACTCCTTTACAAGTGTCATGTCTTCAGGATACTTACAATATTCATCTTCAACGACGTGTGGCTACTGTTGAACCCAATAAAAAAACTATATATTCAAAGAAGGCTGGATAAAAGTAATTATCTTGCGTGTAAATAGAAATATTAATATTGTATTTTTACAGAACAAAAGTTAATCGTAAACACTGCATTTTTGTGCCAAATCAGCAAAATTAAAGAAATATTGAATAAGTTTAAGAAAATATTAAGTATTCTTTACTATGACTGCCATGTTACTCATGATAATATTGAAGTACTTCAGATATCCTAGAGCATGGAATGTGGTTGAGAGCTTGGATGTGCTACGAATAAAGCATCAATCATGTAAAACACAATGCTAATAATTCATTATAAAAATAATTGAAATCTTAAAGCAGGTCACTAGAAAAATATCACTTGGAGTGTTAAATAAAACTTATGTACTTACGGTAAGATTATAAGTCAGTCGTTTTCATGTTTAATATCCTATAAGATTGCTTAAGTTTAATTATTAATTAAATATTATGTGTTTTACTAGTTAATTAGTATAAATCCTACGTTACGGCTTCTCATCTGTTAGCCTTTTCTGGGAAGTCCTGAAAGGTACTGTTTGTGATGGTAGGGGGAGGAGGGGTGCTAGGATTCGCTCCTGGATCTTCATGTGAGAAAGACTGGCGAGTTATCCACTCGACTGGAGTATCTCTCATTAAGGCTTCAATAAATCAACTAACTATTATAATAGTATCAGGAGGGATATACAGATCTTGTTTATTTCTATATATGCAAGATGGACAGACTATGTTATCAATTAGGTTGGTGTAGACACGTTTTATTTATATTTTTCTCATGAGGTTTCATATCGTGGCATTTTCGTATTATTTCATTTTATTTCATGGCATTATTCTCTTATATGATCCTAAATTTTGTTTGACGTTTAATTTTTACAGTGTATTGGAGTTCAGATTCACAACGGATAGTTAAAATGTTTTTGTTTGCTCTCCACTGGGTTTTTAGTTGGTTTAGCGTGTACTAATTGCGATCGTAATTGTTATGGCTTGTAAATACTACTCTGATTTTATGCTATATGTTTTCAGAGAGACCGTCGACATAAAGCAATATGACTGCATTGTGTGTCTATACATCTATTCACGTTTATCCTCTGTGTTTATTTTCTTTATTATTTTTTATATCTAGTGTTCAGGGTATCGGTTTTCAAGGAGGTTTGTAGTGACGTGTTTCTCTTCCTTCTTCTTAGTATCTTCTGTATGACAAATCTTGTTCTTTTGTGACTCCTGTCTTATTATACACTGTTGGGATAGTTTGATTTATAGTCAAGGCATTGGAAATTATTTGTGGATTTCCTGAAACTCCTGAATCATTTATTTTTGTAACCATCGTGCCTAAGAACTCAAAGAATACACCCAACTGACAATCTCGACGATAACATATCTCCCAACTTTCTGTAACAACACAAATTGTCCTCCGGTGGGACAGTGGTAACTTGACAGATTTACAAAGCTAAAATCCGGGGTTAGATTCCCCGTGGTGAACACAGCTCTAAAATAAGCAAACAAAACAATACAACTTCCTTCCAACAGGAAGATAAATACTGCCAACAATAAGAAGACTTGTTATAAGACACAGAATGTGGCTCAAATGCGTTGTCGACATCTTTGTAGTACGGTTACACACTACGTACAAGATTCTAGAATTCACGAGAACCATTTGAACACAAAAATCTGGCAATATTGTACCCAATTCCTAAAAATATTATCTACAAAGACAAATAACTCATATACCGCAAGATTTTAAAGGAACACACAGATATTGGTAAATACCTCGACAATAAATTAACCACCCCAAAAGTGTAAAACAGACGTTATAGACTACCTAATATCATCTACCATTTCCACACTGTAGTTTGTAGACTAGGTTTACTCGACTGATACCGTGTGTATTTAGGTTAAATACATATAGCAATGTAGCTACATTCAGATCCCAAGATTTATGTACTTCAAATTACAGTTTTGAAATTTGACATAACTTCACATTCAGAAACTCATAACTTCGTTTATTTCAATGAATAATTTAAATCCATGCTATCTTTCCTTTCTCTTTGTGATACAAAAACAAAAACATAGAGAGACACTGTAGTCTATCTCAGATGATCTGTTTTTGCTCATCAATTCCTCAATCTCAGCATTTAAAAACCCACAGTATTCTACCTCCTGCGATTATTTTTGACCCTATTGTTTTCTCCCTTATTTCAAACATTCAAAACGCATGTTCTCTTCCTTCATTCAAAATATTGAGAAAACCATGATGTTTCTCCACATTTCACCCAGATAAACCATGAACTCTCCCCTCATTCACATGTTTTTCCCGTCATTCAAAAATTCACAAAAATCACGATTCCTTCCCCTCATTTAAAAAATCATTATCATTTTCCCCTCACTCAAACATTCAGAAAACCGTGATATCTTTCCTCATTTCGAACATTCTGAAAATCTGTTTCTCTAGAGATTACTCATCTGCTGATAGTAGATATGAGTGAGGTTTCAATTAAACCTGATAGAATTAAACAACAACTTGCCTTTACCAAATTCTTCCATTTTATGGTCAGTTTGGAAACCTAGAGAGGACTCCGGAAGACTGACATCGACAGAAAGGGAATAACAGTGATCAACTTGAGCATTAGGAGCCTGAACAGCATCTGTCATCATCCGGTCGTGCAGTATAATAGAATTATTTTCCAACGGGCTTGTCCACTCTGATTCCCTATCCATGTCTGCAACATTCTGTTAATGTAAATAATTAAAATTAATAGCTTACACGGTAATGACAGAGCACAATTTTGGGACTCTAAGATGAGGCAGAGATGACTGTTGTAAATCACCATAGTTATCTCTCTAGTTATTTCTTTTTATTAGATCTATTACTAACGTCATTTTTTTTTATCAAACTTTAAATATCATACCTGTAATGGTTAATTCTCCACCGGCATTTAGTAATCTCCTAGGAACGTAACAAACCAAATCACTGAATATCTGAAGTGTTAAAAAAAGGAAATTTAAGATATTATCCATACAAATGTTCAATCACGTGATTTACAGTGATTAAACCATGGAATCTAGCATTATATACTTTATTATGGAACCTCACACTAATACTGGGTTGGACCACTTTTTGCTGAGATAGTAGCCTGGACTTTGCATGTAATAGACTCTGGATACTAGAAATTGTCTTGTTCGATTGTAATCCATTCGTTGAAGAGTTTTGTCTGCAATTTGCTTATAGATGTTTTAAAATATCAAGGTGAAAAATACGATGTTTAGTGGGTAAGAATATGTGATTGAGCTGGCCAAGAAAGATGACTTTCACGCTCTTTAAACTAATATCAAACAATAACAGCAGTATGGTATTTAAAGGGCTTGCGTTCATCAGGGCACCATTGGAGAGTGAACATAATCGAGAATAGCGCATCAAAGGTACATTCTGAATATTATTTGCCCTCTTAAGGGAACCAAAGAGGCCAAACTTTGCTCTGAACGTTTCCCCCACCCCATTATTACAACTCCAGTAACTTCTACTGTTGGAACAACACAGGTTTGTTCTGTTTATTCTTATTTTTCATATTTTTACCCTACTATTGGAAAATTGTAAAAAGTGACTCATCAGAGACCACAACACACACTCTAGCCATTCACTATCCACATTTTACACTGAACTCGTACTTTCCTGTTGCCAATTGAGAAAAGCTGTTTTTGGAATGGTTGTCAGTTGCCATCCTTAACAATACCCTAACTGCTATTAGAATATTAGAGCCCGGTCTGACGTTTACTGAACTTTACAAGTATTTTTGCTTCAGTTAGTTGCAAGCGGTTAGTGTTCACACATTTTGTCCTAGTGGAAGCCACATCTCCTTTCAACTGCCAATGTTGATCTTTTTATGTCAGTCTATCTGTTAGATGGGCACTTACTATATTGCCCTTTTGAAAATCAGGAAGATTCTTATTCAGATAATAATCAAATGCATCAAATGAACATACTAGTTTAGAAATGCAAACAAATGGGGTGTTATGATAATATATACGTGTGTATGTGTGTCAGAAATGTATTTATCCCATTGGTGTTTTTGTATACAAAGATAAATATTCTATCCATGTTGTTATTGTTAAGACATTGTTTGTTTCTTATGAATTTCGCGCAAACCTACACGAGGGCTATCTGTGCTAGCCGTCCCTAATTTAGCAGTGAAAGACTAGTGGGAAGGCAGCTAGTTATAAACACATACCGCCAATTCTTGGGCTACTCTTTTACCAACGAACAGTGGAGATTGTCCGTCACATTATAACGCCCTCACGGTTGAAAGAGCAAGCATGTTTGGTGGGACGGGAATTCGAACCCGCGACCCGCAGATTACGAGTCGAGCACCCTAACCACCTGGCCAAGCCGGGCCTATTGTTAATATAAGTTATAAACTGCACAATGATAACTGTTTTAGCTATGTTGTTAATGTTTGTATAAGTTACAAACTGCACAATGATAATGGTTTTAGCTATGTTGTTAATGTTTGTATAAGTTACAAGCTGTACAATGACAACTGTTTTAGCTATGTTGTTAATGTTTCTATAAGTTACAAACTGTACAATGATAACTGTTTTAGCTATGTTGTTAATGTTTGTATAATTTACAAGCTGTACAATGATAACTGTTTTAGCTATGTTGTTAATGTTTCTATAAGTTACAAACTGTACAATGATAACTGTTTTAGCTATATTGTTAATGTTTTATAAGTTACAAGCTATACAATGATAACTGTTTTAGCTATGTTGTTAATGTTTGTATAATTTACAAACTGTACAATGATAACTGTTTTAGCTATGTTGTTAATGTTTCTATAAGTTACAAGCTGTACAATGATAACTGTTTTAGCTATGTTGTTATAGTTTGTACAGGTTACAGATGTTTAGTGATAGTTGTTCTTACCGAATTGTTGTTTATTCAATATGAAGAGTATACAATAATAACCGTTCGAACATCAATAGGTTTTTCACAGCTATATTTACAAATTAAATAATGCATTTTAATTTTTTTGTTACTGAAGCTTGATTAACTATATTTAGTGTTAAAACTGATTTGACATGTATCTCTTCGTTAAAATTATAGTAACTATTTTGGACACAGGGTACCTTTACCGGCGTTTTACTGCAGTAAGTTTCAGTTAATGTGTAATACAGCTGTGGTGAATAACACGTGTATGTAACAATGGCTTTCTAGCATATGGTGGAAGTACGTGCTCAATCCAGATAAATACTTGACGTTTATAAGCTAAACTGCTTACGCACATAAACAACATTACAGGGTTATAAAGTGTAAATTCGTGTCAGGAGATGTTTATATTCGACTCAGATAAACATTACTTGTGGGTTAATTTGTAAAACTAGACCTACACATTCATTTTCACCTTTCTTAAAATATGAATATGTACTCTACGACCTTAAAACTCTGATCAATATCAAGTGTACGTACATTTTCAATGGTTATTAAGTCTAAAATTGGTCAGGAATTAGGCTTTGTTATAAATATTATTTGTAACTATGAACTTGTTTTTCAAACCGGATTTTACTGCGTAGTGGTTGTAGAAAGAGATGAAAAAGTATGTTGTAGGTCAAACCACCGAAGACAACAAGATGGTAACTGTATATATATATAATGTTGTAGATACAACGTTTCGGCCAATGCGTTGCAGTTTAGTTTGACAACAGTACTTCACTGATATGTGTAAGACCACTTAATACAATATCAGAAATAATTATTTCCCACTATATTTCAAAATACCAAGAGGCTCTCGAATAGTTCACTATTATACTTTTTTTATTTTTTTACTCTAGTATTTGAAAGCGTTGGAATTTCTGGGTTTTTGAAATATACTTTGCTTTTTGACTATCCTATGTGCTAACTTTTTTATTATAGCTGGAACAACTTACAAATATTCGCCAATTCATATTCGCAAATATATATACATATACAGTATATATATATATATGTGTGTGTGTGTGTGTGTGTACAAATGAACAAAACAAGCCGAAACAAAAAAAAACTAAATTAAACACACTGCATAAATTAAAAAGATCCCCAGGGTATAGGCTATAATGTGGGATATAAAATGTGGCTGGGGTTCTGGAGTAGGATACACCGTCTATCAGTTTTAACCTCCGTTCGCCAGTCTCACATGAAGGAATTTATTTAAAAAAATATCTAATAAAATCATCCAAAGAAATACAAGTTAGGAGAGCGAGGTGTGGGTGCTCGAGCCCACAAAGTCCCACATCTGTATCACCCTTCACTGCTTGCAGCAACATTAATTTAATTTTAATTTTATTTTGTTTGGACTTGTTTTGTTCATTTAAATGCCATTTATCACAGGTTTGGATTTGCTCTATTTAAAGCAGTCCTTCCTTTTAATTTTATTTTGCTTGATTGTTTAAGTATTGATATTTTATATATGTATATATTAATAAATGCAAATTTGAACATAAACATGTAACTAAGGTTAGAAGAAAAATTATGCACCAGAAGGAAATATGTTACTTTACAGGTATCATACCCAAGATAAAAATAAATAAATATCCACATTTATTTGCTGTTATGTAAGAATCTGCACAATAAGCTATCTGTACTGTGCCAATAGAAAAGATCAAACCACAATTTTACCGTGATGAAATCTCATGCTTAACGCTGAGTCTATTTTTACTGAGGGTAACACATTAATAATATTAAAGGATCTGTAAAAATGTGAATTAAAAAAAGGTGTATCATTAATATGGATAAAGAATTAAATAGGGTGTAACAGGAAGCATGGATAAAGGTTTAAAGAAGGTGTACCAGTAAATATGGGTAACGTATTAAAGAAAGTGTAACATTAATATGGATAAAGAATTAAATAGGGTGTAACAGTAAGGTAAAACAGTAAATATGGGTAAAGCATTAAAGAAGGTGTAACAGTAAACATGGGTAAAGGTCGAAAGAAGGTGTACCAGTAAATATGGGTAACGTATTAAAGAAGATGTACCAGTAAATATGGGTAAAGTATAAAAAAGGTGTAACAGTAAACATGGATAAATGTAATTAGTGTTAGCTACAATTGGAGAAAAACATTATCACAATACACGAAAGTTCTGAAATCGTACGTTATATATCACAAGATTTAAGAAATTAGAGAATAAGAATTTCAGTGTAAATAGCTATACCGAATTATATCAGTAAATTGTTTCGTAAAGCGTGAACTTCTTCATAAAAAAACAAATGTAAATAACCGAGTAATAATCACTCACACCTAACTAAAAACAGTTGTCTTCGTCAAATAAGTTAGAAGAGGGAATCGTATACTATGTTATCAACGCTTATCTTCATCAAAAAAGTTAGAACAAGGATATATGTACTGTGTTCTTAACTGAATAGTAGAGGTGAAAATACTCAAGGCAGCTTACGCGATCTAAGCTCCCAGTGTTATACAGTGCTTGAGAAAAGCAAGAGTAAATATATTGCAATTGATAGATAAATGGATACCCAAATGTGCCAGGAGTAAATATATAAATATACTCTATTTCAAAGTGAAAGCAACCAAAATTTAGACTGGGTATTAATGTTGCAGGAGAGATAGATGTAACATGATTTATAATGGTACGAGTGGAAAAGATCCAAGAACATAAAGTAACGACAGGTGGTTCAATACGTCATGAGCTAACATGTACATGTGGTTTACAATGACAAGAACAATGTATGGTGTGGTTTA